AACAATCGTTGGACCACCTACGCCCAGAGGGGTGGTGGGATTTACAAGAGATTCTGGCTTCGGGAACGCGAATCTGGTATACTTTATTGGGGGTTTTGGTTTCGGAAGCGCGAATCCGGTATAATGTAGAACGGAGTCTGGCCTCGGGGATAGGACCCCCCCTGTAGACAACGGATTGTCTCCCCACGGGCGCGAATCTAACACTTTTCGAGTGTTTCCACGCCCGCCACAATTTCAGGCAACGCGTGTCAGGGACGGTGGCCAGGGCGGTACTCGCCCCCCCACCTCCCGCACGGACGCAAACACACAACAGGAAACAACAATGATTATTATAACATGGACTGCATGGGCCACTGTAGCGTGGACTACTACAACATGGACGAGCCGATACAGGATGTTTTATAGGCAACATGGACTGACTACGATCACGTGGGCAACTATGACACTAGAAACCGGAGGCTATAACTGGCACAGGTCGCAAGAAACCTCAGATGCGCAGCCTGGTTGTCCCACGAAGGGGCCGGCGGGTTCACGGTGTAGACGGCAGCAGCAGCATCAGCTGTAGGAACATAGTCTGCCGAAGAGGGGGCAGAGCGTGAGGACGAGGTGGGCTGATGGTGAGCACGATGAGGAAGAGCAGGGGGAAGTGCAGCACAGGGAGGACAAGGGCGGAGGAAGGAGAAGCAGGAACAGCTGGTGGTACATTCAGAACATCGGGAACAAGGATGCACATGTGTGGATCTGGGTGATGACGATGCTGCTGATGATGATGTTGACGATGCTGCTCTCATGGTGATGCTGGTGCTGATGATGATGCTGATGCTGCTGATTATGCTGACGATGCTGGTGATGGTGCTTCTGATGATGATGCAGATGCTGCTGATGACGATTTTCATGATGCTGTTGACGATGATGATGCTGATGCTGAGTTTGATGATGTTGATGATGCTGTTGCTGATGTTGATGGTGCTGATGCTGCTGCTGATGATGGTGATGCTGATGTTGATGCTGATTATGATGATGCTGCTGATGCTGATGCTGATGCTGATGGAAAGGATGATGATGCCGATGATGATGATGATGCTGATGATGCTGATTATGCTGATGATGCTGCTTCTAATGATGATGCTGATGCTGATGATGATGATGCTGATGCTGACGATGATGATGCTGATGATGGTGATGCTGGTGCTGATGTTGATGATGCTGATGCTGGTGATGCTGATGACGATGCTGATGACGATGATGATGATCATGTTGATGCTGATGATGGTGACGATGATGATGATGATGCTGATGATGGTGCTGCTGCTGATGCTGATCATGACACTGCTGATGCTGATGATGATGATGTTGATTATGATGCTGATGATGCTGATGATGCTGATGATGATGATGCTGCTGATGCTGATGCTGATGATGATGGTGATGCTGATGCTGGCGATGATCATGATGATGCTGATGCTGCTGACGATGATGATGATGATGCTGATGCTGATGCTGATGATGATGATGCTGATGCTGCTGATGATGATGCTGATGATGATGATGATGATGATGATTGATGATGATGATGATGATGATGATGATGATGATGATGATGATGATGATGATGATGATGATGATGATGATGATGATGTGATGGTGATGATGCTGCTGATGATGATGCTGATGATGCTGGGGAGGAGGAGGAGGAGGAGGAGGAGGAGGAGGAGGAGGAGGAGGGACAGGAGGGCAAGGATGGCGCGGAGACCCACGAAGGGAGGGAGGGAAGCGCAGGGCAGGCGGCGGCGGAACACGAGGAGAATGAGGAGGATGAGGAGAAAGAGGAGGAGGAGGAGGATGAGGAGGAGGAGGACCAGTGTAAACCCACGACTCATCAACGGTTTTGGAAGGAACTCTCCCTCCAAGCTCCCTCTTGATAGGCCCCTTCGAGGGTTCATTTCCACTGGGGGACGTGTCCCTTGAGGAGACAGGTTTGAAGATTCTGGAGCGTGCCGAAACACAGTTCTCGGGACTTCAGCGCCACGAATCAGTGTGGCTGTTGCGTAGTGGCGATCCTGAATCTTGGCAGGAACACCTTTTCTTGGACTTCAGCACCGCGAATCAACGTATTTGTTGCGCCCTAACAATCCTGAGTCGCCCTAGCACATAGTTGGGGTACGTTAGCCATGAGATCCCGTTACATTCCTGCACCTTGTTAACACGAATGTGCACGGCGCTATGGCGAGAGCCACATTTTGAAAAGGAACCGCCGTCCATCTGCATTTTTGCACGTACTCTTGTTGAAACGATGAGCGCGGCGCTAAGGCGAGAGGCACATTTTGGAAGCGGCCCACCCTCAAATTGTGAAGCTGGTGCCAATTTCTTAAGCGTCAGGGTCACAAATGGTAAGAAAATATCAGGCGGCGCTTCGGCGAGAGTCATACTTTGGAAAAAACAAGCCTCAACCTGTGAAACTTGCAATTGTTTGAACGGATGTGCGCGGCGCTAAGGCGAGAGCCACATCTTGGAGAGAGCGTGATCCACCGCCGCTTTACTGTGGAAAATTGCCAACCTTTTCCTCCGGAACCCGGGGTCTCCCCCCCCCCCCCCTCCGAAAATCCCCCCCCCCCCCGGAACCCCCCCCCCCCCCCCCCCCCCCCCCCCCTCCCCCGGCAAAACCCCCCCCCCCTCCCCCCCCCCCCCCCCCCCCCCCCCCCCCCCCCCCTCCCCTCGAAAACCGAGGGGGGGTCACTACCGGTTCGAACCCCTCCCCCCCCCCCCCCCCCCTCCGGATCCGGAAAACCGGGGGGGGTCACTACCGGTTCGAACCTCCCCTCCCCCCCCCCCCACCTACTCACCGCCAGCAAACGACTCCCGGTCCCCACCACCGTCCGCATCACATCCCCCACTGGTGTTCCCAGCACCACTGTCCTCACCACCGCTGTCCCCACTGGTTCCACCACCGCCCCTACTGTCCCCACCAGTGGCCCCACCACTGTCGCACTGTCCCCGCTGTCCCCAGAACTGTTCCCACCACGGTTCCACTCTCCCCACTGTCTCCACGGCCCCAACCACTGCCCGACTATCCCCACTGTCCCCACTGTCCCACTGACTCCTCCGCTGTCCCACTGAGCTGTCCCACTGTTCCCACCACTGTCCCCACTGTCCCCACCACTGTCCCCACTGTACCTCTGTCCCATTGTCCCACCGCCGTCCTCGCCACCGCTTTCACCACTGTCCCCACCACCATTGTACCCTCCACTGTCCCACTGTTTCCACCTCGTTCCCATTGTCCCCACACCACTGTCCCCACCACCACCGTCACCACCACTGTCCACTGTCCCCCCCTGTTCCCGCCATTGTCCCCACCACTGTCCCCACCACTACCGTCCCCCACCGCTGTCCCACTGTCCCACTGTCCCCACCACTGTCCCGCTATCCCCTCACCACTGTCCCCACCACTACCGTCCCCACCACTGTCCCACTGTCCCCCCACTGTCCCCACCACTGTCCCGCTGTCCCCTCACCACTGTCCCCACCAACACCGTCCCCACCACTGTCCGCACCCCCACTCGGTTTTCGAGGGGGGGGGGGGGTTCGAACCGGTAGTGACCCCCCCCCCCTTTTCATGATGAGCTGGGGGGGGGGGGGGGGTTCGAACCGGTAGTGACCCCCCCCGGTTTTCGGGGGGGGGGGGGGGGGGGAGGGGTTCGAACCGGTAGTGGCCCCCCCCGGTTTTCCGCCAGCAGCGGTAGAACACGCTCTTTCACATCTTGGAATCCGGCCTCCATCTGTGAAGTTGTTGCCAACTTCCAAGTTTCAGGATCACAAGTGGTAAGGACGTCTCTGGCGAAACGCCCAGGCCGCCCTTCCGACTGGACTCGGGGTGCGAATATTATAAGGAGAAGGAGGGGGGGAGAATGAAGCGGAAGAGCAGGAGGAGGAGGAGGAGGAGGAGGAGGAGGAGTAGGAGGAGGGGAGAGGAGGGAGGAAGGAGGAGGAGGAGGAGGAGGAGGAGGCTGTTACGACTTTCGCCTCTTGCATCCCCTCTTGTATCACCGAGTAGCGCCAAGCCGAGGAGGCGGAGGAGGCGGAGGAGGAGGATGAGAAAGAGGAGGAGGAGGAGGAGGCGAAGGCGGAGGCGGAGGCGGAGGCGGAGGTGGAGGCGGAGGCGGAGGCGGAGGAGGAGGAGAAGGAGAAGGAGGCGGAGGAGGAGGAGGAGGAGGAGGGAAGGAGGTAGAGGCCGAGGCGGAGGCGGAGTCGGAATAGCAGGAGGAGGAGGGGGAGGAGGAGGAGGGGGAGGAGGAGGAGGCGGAAGAGGGAGGAGGAGGAGGACGAGGAGGAGGAGCAGCAGCAGCAGCAGGAGGAGCAGGAGCCGCCATGGCCGTCTGCCCCGTGGCAGCCGACCCTGCTCGAGCCGAAGCGCGTGCCCCGACGTGTTGCCCCGGCGGCCCGTGTCGCGGCGAGATGCTGCTAAGCCTGGCGGCCCATCGGGGCGCGGCCGCGCTGCCGCCTGGCCGGCGCGCCGTCGCTGCGGCGCTGCCGCGCGTGCGCCGCGCGCCTGCGGGCGCGCGGGCCACTGGCCTGGGCGGGGCTGGTCCGGCGGCGGCCGCGCTGGCGTGCTCCACGCTGGTGGCCGCCGCGCAGCTGCCGGGCCCCTCGGAGCCAGCCGCGGGGCGGGGGCGGCGCCTCCGCCCGCGCGGCGCGCGGGGCGCCGCGGCGGTGGGTTGCGCTGCGGCGCCGCCGCTGGCCGGGGCGCTGCTGTCCCCGGTGGAGTCCATCGGGTTCCAGGACGGGCCGCTGCTGGACCCGGAGCGCCGTGCTGGGCGGGACGTTGGGCGTCGCGTAATCTGGGGGCGATGAATCGCGGGGGGCAGCGAGGCTGCAGAAAAGGAGCCCCTCAGGGCACCTAAAAGGGGGTATTCAGGGCCTCAAAAGGAGTTTTTCGGGCCCGAGAAGTGCACCTTTCTATCCCCCCATTCATCGCCCCCACATTACGTAGGCAACGCCCCTAGGACGTCTGGCTGGTGGGCAGGAAGGACAGGCTGGTGGCCGCCGCCCTGGAGCTCTCCGCGGCCGTCGGGCAGCCGGCGATCGTGCAACAGGCCGAGGGCATGAGCGCCGGGTACGCCGGGTCGAGGAAGGAGGTGGTGTGGTCGACCGGAGGAGAGTTGCGCAAGGCCGTCCTGGTCGCGTTGCCCGAGGCCGGGAGGTACGTCGCGCCCTGCAGGCCGGACGTGATTTCCAAGCAGCTGCACGGTCTGCTGGCCGGCCAGGACGTCGTGCTGGCGGTGGCGGAGGACGACGTGCTGGCGGCCGGGCTCGCAGTGGCGAGATGCCTGCCGCCGTATTCGGCGCAGTCGAAGCCGCGGGAGGCCTCAGACTGCCAGGTCGGCTTCCACGGCTGCGCCCCGCAGGCGCAGCTCCTCGCAAAGCTGCAGGTCCTGGCGGAGTCGATCCGCGTAGCGCAGGGGCTGGTGGACATGCCCCCTAACCTGGTGCACCCGATGTCATTCAAGGACTTCGCCCTGGAGGCCCTGAAGGGTGTCGACGGTCTGACGTACGACGTCATCGAGGGGGCCGAGCTTGCCGAACGCGGGTACGGGTTGCTGCACGCCGTGGGCCAGGGCTCCGGCCCCGCGAGGCCACCGTGCCTCCTCACCATCACGCACCCCGGGGACGGCAGCGGGCAGAAGGGCGTGGCATTGGTCGGCAAGGGCATCACATTCGACACCGGGGGGGCCGCGCTCAAGCCGCGCGAAGGTCGGGCGGGTGGTAGTACGTGGTGGTCCAAACGGGGGGTGAAGAAAAATGGGCCCTGGAGGGGCCCTTTCGGGCCCCTTCTGGGCCCAGCTGGTGCCCAAAAGGGGTCCCAACGGGCTCCTTTGCAGCCTTTTTCTTCTTCCCTCATTTGGGTCACCCCCCATTGCCATTAAATCGGGCCTGTCCCTCTACAGGAGGAATATTCCAGCATGATTTTGAAAATAGTATGGGGACGATGTTTTCACTCTGCTTGCATTTTTTGGTGTATGTTCGACTATTTCTCAAATCTCTCGTCCAAGATACGCCTGTAGGGGGACATTGCCCGGCCTAACATTACCGCCCGCCCGAGAAGGGATGTGCGGCATGAAGCGGGACATGGGCGGCGCCGCCGGGTGCTTCGGCGCCTTCCTGGCCGCGGCCAGGAGCGGGGGCCTCCCCTCGGGGCGGCCGCTGCACCTGGTGCTGTGCCTGGCCGAGAACGCCATCGGGGAGAGGTCGAGCAGGGGATCGACTGCAGAGTTGACCAACCCCAAAAGTCAAGTTTCCGTCGAATCTACAATGACCAAGCGCGTTCCACTACTCGCAAAGTGCCTACTCGCAAACGTTCGAAACAAGTAGGTTTGCTTCGATGAGATGTATCGTAGATCCCCAGCGGCGGATCCAGCCCATTTGCGAGTGGTTACTTTGCGAGAAGTGGAACGCGCTCGTCTATACAAGAAAAGTTGTCGAATGGATGTAGATCGGGGAGGATCCGACGCATGTTCTTTGATTCGACGAACACATGAATTTTGGGGTACATCCACTCTGTAGTCGACCTCCTACTCGAAGAGGTGCTTCGTGCAGGACGACATCCTGGTCGGCTACAGCGGCCTCACGGTGGAGATCAACAACACGGACGCCGAGGGCCGGCTGGTGCTGTCGGACGGCGTGGCGCACGTGGCCAAGCACCTGGACTGCGAGCTGGTCGTGGACATTCGGCGGCGAGCGAGGGGGGTAAGTGAGAAGGAGGACGCCTTCTCGGAAGGCGGCGGGGCTTCCTAGAAGCCCCAGCCCCAGCACTTTCGGGGAAGGCTCAGGGAACCTCTCAGAAGGCCGAAGGGATTTCCGAACCTTCCGAGAAGGCCTTCTCCTGCTCGCTTCCCCTCCGCGCTCGCCGCCGAGACATGGCCACGCTCACGGGGGCGCAGGGCATCTCCACGGGGAGCCACCACGCCACGGTGCTGGCGAGCGACGAGGGCCTGGAGAGCGCCATCGTCTCGGCGGGCCTCGCCTCGGGAGACCTCGTGCACCCTGGCATCTTCGCGCCGGAGCTGCTACTGCACGAGTTCGACTCGAAGTTCGCTGACATGAAGATCGGGGGTTGCGAAAGGCACCCTGGGCGCAAGGTGTCCCCAGCTTTTCGTTCCATTTTGGAACCCCTCGGGCCCCCCGGGCCTCGTCAGGGGGGTTCTGGAGGCCGTGGGGGCCTCCTTGGGAATCCTGGGGGCACCTTGGGCCAGGGGCGCTTCTGGCCCCCCCCGGAAGAACTCGGTGAAGAACCGCAGCAACGCCCAGTCCTCGTGTGCCGGTCTCTTCATATCCAGCTGCCGTCCGCAAGTCCGCCACCGTGTGTTGCGAGGGAGGAGGAGGTGGAGGAGGAGGAGGATGAGTAGGCGGAGGCGGAGGCGGAGGCGGAGGAGGAGGAGGGGGAGGAGGAAGAGGAGGGGCAGAGGGGGGAGGAGGAGGAGGGGGAGGAGGAGGAGCAGGAGGAGCAGGAGGAGGACGAGGAGGAGGAGGAGGAGGAGGGAGGAGGAGGAGGAGGAGGAGGAGGAGGAGGAGGAGGAGGAGACAGCTCTCATGTGGCTCACTTGGGCCGACCTGAGGCTGGCGTGGGCTCCTGCGGGGCAGTCCTGAAGGTCCCTGTCTAGTGAGGCTGTCTTCCAGTCTTTTGAGGCTGTCGTGGATCCCTTCGGAGGCCCTCGTGTGCCAGCTCGGGGGTCTCTTGTGGACGTCTTGGACCGTCTAGGGGCTCTCTTGGGGCTCTTGGTGGGCCGTTCTGAGGATCAGCGTTGGAGCGATTATTTGACCGACGAGCGGTGAAAGCAAACGCCCAAAGCACAGGGCACGGTTTCTTTGGAGTCATTTTTTTTTGGTTTTATCTCATTGCGTTGGATTTGCAATATGATTCCCTTCTTGACGAATTTACAAGTTGATCCCGTATGTGTGGGACACCATTGCAGCCACTTCCTGCCCATCCTCTCATTATCTTTGGCTCGGCTCCTCATGCTCTCTTCTCTCACCCTCGCCCTCCAGATTATCATCTTACCTGTACTGCTACAACGAGTAGTGCTACCCTGATTCCTCCTACTACTTGTCCCCCATCGCTACTCCTACTGCTTCTGCCTTCTAAGTCTACCGAGGCGACTTCTACTACCACCACCACTACCACTACCGCTTGCCACTACCACTACCACTACCACTACGGCAATGGCTACGGCTACGGCTACTGCTACGTCCTCGGCTACTACATTTACTGTTACTACTACTAGTACTACTACTACTACTACTACTACTACTACTACTACTACTACTACTACTACTACTACGACTACAATTACTACTACTACTGCTGCTACTACTACTACTTCTACTACTACTACTACTACTACTACTACTACTATTACTACTACTACTACTACGAATAATACTAATAATACTAATACTGTTGCTACTGCTGCTGCTACTACTACTACGACGACTATTACTACTACTGCCATTACTCGTACTACCCTTAGTACTTCTCCTACTAGAATAGTACCAGGGCTGCGACTACGACTACGACAATCACTACCACTACGACTACTACTACTACTACTACTACTACTACTACTACTGCTACTACTACTACTACTACAACTACTACTACTACTCTTACTACTACTAATATTAGTACCAAAACTACGACCAGTATTATTATTATTATTTATTATTATTATCATTATTAGTAGTAGTAGTAGTAGTAGTAGTAGTAGTAGTAGTGGTAGTAGGTTCACGACTTCCACTGCGATTATTATTTTTCATACTACTACTACTATTACTACGACTACTCCTTTTACTACTACTACTACTACTACTACTGCTGCTACTACTACTACTACTACCACTACTACGACGACTACTACTACTACTACTTTTACTACTACTACTCCTACTACTACTACTACTACGACTACTACTACTACTACTACTACTACTGCTACTACTGCTAGTACTAGTCCTACTACGACTGCTACTACTATTACGACGACTATTACTTCCATTGCTTCTACGGCTACGGCCAATAGTAGTAGAAATCGTAGTAGTAGTCGTCGTCGTCGTCGTCGTCGTGGTAGTGGTAGTAGTAGTAGTAGTAGTAGTAGTCGTCGTCGTCGTGTCACTACTACTACCACTACTACTACTACTACTACTACTACTACTACTACTACTACTACTACCACCAATACTGCTACGAGTACGACTACTGTTTCTGTTACTTCTATTTGTGCTACTACTACTACTACTACTACCATTACTACTACTACTACTACGACGACGACGACGACGACGACGACGACGACGACGACGACGACGACGACGACGACGACGACGACTACTACTACTACTACTACTACTACTACTACAACTACAACTCCTTTACTGGTACGGCTATTACCACGACGACTACTACTACGATTCTACTTCGACGTTTACATGTACCACCAGATGCACCACTAGCACTACTCCTCAATCACCACCCTATCGGGGCCTGGGTGTTGTGATCGTGCTAGTCCTTTCTTGCTGCCCATTTCCTTGTAACCCTTCTGGCAGTAATTACCTTACTATGTCTGCTTTCGCTCTTCAGGTTACTCACTACGCTCTACTCCTACTGCTCATGATCCACCACCAGGCTGCTACTACCATTGCTATTTCTAGTATTCGTGCTACTTCTGCTGGACCCACCTCTGGGGCCACGAAGCGCGTGAGAGGCGTGCCGGGTTGTGAGCGGGTGCGCTATGCGAGCCTTTCAGTTTGGGCGCTCGGTGAAGCTCTCTCTGAGGCCACGGCACGTGTGAGGGGCGTGCCGGCATGAGGCGGCGCCGTTGTGCGGTCTTTGGCGTTTGAGCCTTCGTCGGGCTCCCTATGGGGCCACGAAGAAAAGCGTGTGAGTGGTTAGCCGGCATGAGGCGGCAGTGGCGTGATGTCTTTGGCATTTAGGCTTTCTTCGGGGCCCACA